TTCAGCAGGTTCAAAGGAAATTAATGTCATGATGTCACTAGCATAGGTTGTGTTGGGACACTGCATCTAGTGAGAGCCAGTAGAGCAGAGATGTTAAAGCACTTACAGGAGTTTTCAGATTTGTAGAGGCTTTGTTGCATATGTGCAAGTTATTAACAGACTGCTTAGCAATGATAACATTTTCGCAGACAGTCTTTAGGACTCTTTAATCAATTTTCAGATTAATCACTATTATTTTGTGCTTTTGTTTTGACATATGTAATGTCTTTCTATATATTAAAAATCACATAAGTATTGACAAGAAATAACTGTTGAAAATTTCACTAAATCTAAGGTACTAATCTTTTTTGTTTCTCTTTCAGGCTTTCTACCCTGTAGAGCAACCTGTCGATGTTAGTTTTGGTGATATATTAGCCGCTAGGTGTGTTTTCAGTGGTGAAGGTAGAATGACAGACACACACATAGGGTATGTTTTCTGAATATAATTTATTCAGATAACTTTTTTACTGTTGTCTTGGTTATATACTTGGTTCATACTTTTCATTCCCTCTAAAATAATCCTAGCTTGCTGCTTCATTCTGTTGGAACTGTCTGGCTTTTTCTCAAAAATGTTAAGAATATAAATTTGAGGGACAAGGAAAGACCAGCCTGCCTCTACTATATTTTACTTATAGTTTGGCTAGTAACATTCACCACATTTTTCAAATGAACCCTTCCAGACACATACCTTCCGGCGACTCCACAAATATGCCAGCTGGGCCAGTCTACAAATAATATATATTTCAAAGCTTCAAAAATACACAATATTTTCTGTTGTTTTGTGTTGAAGGTCAAAATGTGTTGCAGATAACAAAATACAGATTTAACTCTCTCTCTCAAAATCCTTTATTTTCTTTCTCAGATAGACATTACCTAGGTTTATAGTTCACGGTATATTTTGAAATATAAACTTAAGCTGTCAGAAAAGGAAAAAATAGTATTATTGGATAAAGCATTTGCTTTGTTTTCGAGAAAAAAGTAGTTTTCATTATTCATCCTATTATTACTTTTCATGATGGTATTCAATAGGAAATAATATCAGGGCTTTAAAAGGTGCATTTTACTTAAGTATAGATTGTAAAAAGAGATGTAGTGGCCTGGTATTAAATGGCATTTTTACACATACATGCATCACAGCACTGGGTACGTTGGAAAACGCCTGGCATTGCGATGCATGCAGTTGTATAAGCAGCAAAATGCGCATCACTGAGAAAATGGCAGTGGTGAACTTTTAAACTAAAACACCTCAGAGGTGCTTTAGTTTGAAAGCACCCCACCACCATTTTCTCTGCGCTGACATGCATTTTGCTACTTATACAACTGCGTGCCGTGCAGCGCAGTGCAGTTCTCCTCAGTTTGCATGCAGAGCAGACTCAGTTAATCAGTTCTGCTCCGAAGCAGCAGGTCTCTGGCATGTCACTGGAAAAAAGTATGTGTATAAATGCCCAAAGTATCCATATTTTGATTTTGTGCTCCACACTTACAGAAAGAAACTGAAACACTTGTGATGATAGGATAGCAGCAACTGAAGTAAAGATGAATGTATTTGAAAACTGGTTAAAGTATAAAATAAACAAAACTAACATAAGCGTAACTGGAGTTAAGATACAGACTGAAACAGTATTATAAAATACTGTAGAAGTTCTACAATGTACTTCATTATAGTATAGACTGAAAAGATAGCTGTTGAACAGGATTAGGTTTTAAGGAGAAGAGAAGCAGTTTTTGTCTGGGGTAGATTTTTTTGTTTTTCATATTGTTATAAGCCTATAACAGTTAAGAGTAGTATATGCTTCATGAAAATTTCTGCTACTTCCTGTAATTTTAGTCACTGGAATTATCTCTTTCCATGTCGGTATAGTAAACTTGATATAGCAGTACTGTAGAAGTTTTTGTGTTCCAAATGTCCCTCTTCCAAATGCATATGGAAGTTAAACTGATAAATTGAAAAATTACCCTCTTTAACCAAGTTAATATTTGAATATGTCTTGGTCATAAAAGCTGGAAATAAGTATTAGGAACAGCTGTGCCTTGACACTAATGTTAAACGTTTAAATATAAAACATTTACATTATTATTACGATTTGTGTCTGATATTCATGAAACGATGAATGGTATAGGCATATGTTTAAACTGTTACACAGGAGACTGAAACATTATATGAACGTATACAAAGCAACCATAATGGGAAGAAATTATCATAATATGAAATATTAATAAACATAAATGAAAGGTATACCATTAGGTCCATAGTTGATATTCAGCATTTGTCTGGGAAGATATTACTAGTACAGCTAAACATATATAAAGAATCCATGCATGTATCTCACTGAAAAACAAATAAAACCCTGTGAAACTGAAAATAGACCCCAGAACTGATTTAATAAGACTTGGAGCCATTGCTCAATGCAAGACCTAACGTGGAACATTATTGAAAATACATAGATTAGTAGTATCTTGAGTTATTTCGCTACTGAGTTTTAACATCATTTAACAAAGTACATTAAGAGGAGAAATTAGATTTCAAAATTTGTCATTAGACATACATGATTGTTTGTTTTAGTTATGCAGTGTTAGTAGTAGACTTTTTAAGGCCTGGAGGAACCATCATGGTCATTTAGTATGACTGCCTACATCATACAGGCTTTAGAACCTCAACCGTTAGTTTCTTCATCCCACCTACAATTTTTTAAAACAAAGTGGCTGAAAACAAGGTATTGTAATGAAAAATGTTTTTATCCAGTCTTTAATAGCGGTTGTCACTTCCTGGGCTATAAAGAAAATGTAGCGAGTATGTTATTTATTATACTTGTTTAACTCAATAAATAGGAATTTACTCATTTCCCTAAATATCAGACTGTATTCCCTAGATTTTTAATTTCTCAAGTGCCTTGAAACTTCTACTTGATAGACATTTAATTTGCTTCATTGAAAATGTTTTATTGGGTACTCTTATCCGTTTCCCTTAAATCGTACTCATAATCATTTTCTTCATATCTGGTATTTGCTTTTATTTTCTTATACTGCACCATTTGAAAGGCAACACAGTCCTTTTTCTCTTATTCTTTGCTTTTGAACACCATATTCCATCTGGCATCCAACAAATGCATTCTTCAGTATCAACCCTTACTTAGTATTCTACCCCTTTTGTAATACACCCTGGTATGTATCTTCTTTGATTTTTTTTTTAACTGCTGCTGTTCAACTGAGTGATAGCTTTAATGATTTTTCTACCACTTCTAAACACTTTCCTAATCAATGTGCTGGATGATTGCCCTATTTAGTGTATATTGCTCACTTAAGTTTTGTTTAGACAAATATAAAGTGATTAATAGGCGTAAAAAAACCCTATTTTTGCCATCTTCTAAGCAGCCTTGGGCATAGCTTTATGATTTTTGTATATTTCATAGATTTCATAGACATCAGGGCTGGAAGGGACCTCAGAAGATCATCAAGTCCAGCCCCCCACCCAAAGGGCAGGAAGTCAGCTGGGGTCATAGGATCCCAGCAAGATAAGCATCCAGTTTCATCTTGAAGGTGTTCAATGAAGGCGCTTGAACCACCTCCGGTGGCAGGCTGTTCCAGACCTTGGGGGCTCGGACAGTAAAGAAGTTCTTCCTTATGTCCAGCCTAAAACGATCTTGAAGTAGTTTGTGACCGTTCGACCTCGTCATCCCTTGGGGCGCTCTGGTGAACAAACGTTCCCCCAGATGCTGGTGGTCACCCCTGATAAACTTGTAGGTGGCCATCAGATCACCCCTGAGCCTGCGCTTTTTCAGGCTAAAGAGCCCCAGGGCTCTCAGCCTGTCATCGTAGGGTCTGCTTCCTTGACCTCTGATCATGCGCGTGGCTCCTCTGTGGACTCTCTCAAGCTTCTCCACATCCTTTTTGAATTGTGGAGCCCAAAACTGGACACAGTACTCCAGCTGCGGCCTCACTAAGGCCGAGTACAGCGGGAGAATGACGTCCCGGTATTTGCTTGAGAAGCATCTATGGATGCAAGCCAGCATTTTGGTC